CCTGCTTGCTCCAGGTGGACAGGTGAAAGAGCAGAGAGTATCAAGATGGTTTGAGGAGGAAACATCAGAGAGACTCAGCCACATGTTTGAGCCTCAGTCAGGAGTCTGTTGAGACTCTTTCTCTCTGTACTGACAAGGTTTCAGTTTTATTGAGCCCCGCCCCCCATCCCCACAAGTTGACAGGATTGGTTCCTCAGGTTTGTGACGTATGAAACCCTTGCTGTCTGAATCTGTGTTTATGAAAATGTCATTGGTTCACTGCAGTTCAAGGTGGAAACACTCAGTCATGGTGTTGATGATTATTTCACTCATCTTATTGATTATATTATATATATTTATTATATAAAAACATCATATGGATGTTAACAAGGTTAAACTCTGGATCTTCATCAGAGGAAGTCTTTAACAAATCAGTGATGTCTGAGCAAGACAGTGAGCTGGGCGGGTCACTTCCTTCTCACTTTTCTTTGTTTTTGTTGGTTGTTTGGTCCCGCGGGATTGTGTTTTGTAGTGTTCCTGTTCACACTGAGCACATAGGAGGTATTTTTAACCAAGGCCTTCCCCCAGCTCTGATTACAGGGTGCAGTTGGGTGTATGACGGACCTCTGACCAGGAGGGTGATGATGTCTTTTGCCCTGATGTGAAGATCTAAAAAGTGGACCCTGTCTGCCTTGCGAGCGACAGGGGTTTCCCCTCTTTCCTCCAAAGTGTTTTTCTGAACAGAAAATAAATAAGTAGTTTGGTGATGAGATGGTTTGCCTCCAGGCTCAACAGCATCTCTGCCTCCCACTCAGGCTTTTGAACTCCAGGAAGGGAGAGGTGCTGTTACAGACCCCCTAAGGCTGATTGCTGAGAGGGAGGCAGGCTTCCTCTTTCTCCTCTCCTCTCCCTCTCCCATTTCCCTGACTCTCTCTTTCCCCTCACTCCATCACAGAAATGACAGGTTCTCCTGCCTCCTGATATTGATAAGATTTTTTTTCTATATCCTGATAAATCACAGGAATCACACGCAGAAAGACTTTGCCGCCAGTGGGGATATTTGATACACAGGGATTCTCAGTTCAAAGAAAAACATGAGCATAAAGTTGTGAATCTCACGGTTAGTTCATTATAGAAGGAGTTAATTACAGACCTGCACCACATAAACGTCTGCCTGTGGATTAATGAGCAGTGCAGCAGAGTGACTGTTACATCTTTGATGGCACATTTGTCCAGAACAACTTATGAATGAAGTCTTTCCTCTTTAACTGCGGCTGTTACTCTGAGTTATGAAGATGTTGCAACAAGAAATTGATCAAGTACAATCCATCACTTTCAAGGCTATGAACCTGTCATCTGCTGGGTCTCTATCATGTTGTGTGTAAGACACAACACACTTAATAGAAAGGTGTAGGTCTGTATTAGGGCATTTATTTGGCCTATTAATTGCAAGGCACCAGGTAGTGTGTATTATGGAACATACTATACAGCTCTAATCTAGCTGCCCAGGTTTCTGAGATTTCAGCTGCCGTTGTCTTGGTCTTTGTATCCACCATTGTATATGAAATAATTGTTTTCTACATCTGTAGATGTGATGTAAATACAATTACTTTATTTAGCATTTATACATGGAGCTGACTTCTTTCTGTACCTCACTGAATCTGCTGCTACATCAACCTCCACTTTGCTGGTTTCAGGCTTTTTCACCAGATGTTGGACCATTCAGCCACACAACAACATTGGTGAAGTCCAGCACTGATGATGGGCGATAATGCCTGACTCACAATCAGCGTTGCAGCTCATCCCAAAGGTTTTGAGCCAAGTTCTTCCGCACCAAACTGTGAAAACCATTTCTTTACAGATCCTGGCTTTGTGCAGATCCAGGAGAGAGCAGGAGGGGGCTCTTAGTATGTTACGTGCTGCATATGTAAGAAGAAATGCAGATTTGAATGATGGGAAGAAACTTGATACCTGGCAGTTATCATGTTAGTCACAAACATAATGACACGCCAATTTTAAACTACTGTTCACAGATAAGAAGTAGCCACATGAACAAATTACTAGTAGATGTTAACCACTGTATTTACAAAAATATCCAAATAAATCCAATAAATTGTGAGTGTATTCCAGCTTCAGAGTGAACAATGACAAACCAACAGATCTATTTAGAAACAAAACACCAACATAACCTACCCAAATATTAAAAAAAAAAGTTAACAACTAACCTTCCAAACTAACAAAAACAGGAGAATAGGTGATCAAAAGAAAATGGTAGTCCACCAACAAAACCCTAGACATGTCAAAAGTTACAAGGAGGTGAACAGTGGTGTGGCCAGTTGGGACAGGAGGTAGATGCAGTTTTCTACCCTTGCAGTTTGGCCGCACCAGCTTGGCTCTTTATATTTGGAGGCCATCTAACAGGAGCCAATCAGCTGCAGGCGTCAGTGCTGCGATCCAGTCACCAGCTTGTCCTTGCACACACCTATTTGCACACACTAACTCGAGACAAAACAATATGAGTGGTAGTAGGTAAAATTGTAAAAAAAAAAAAATGTGGTTGTGATATAATGTAAAGAAATATACAAAATTGTATTGTATTAGAGAAATGTATGTAGAGGAAAAAAAGGTCTGCTGCAGCATTTCATCAGAAACTAAGGGGCCTAAACCATGAAAAACATCCCCAGAGAAAAGTACAGAGAAGTGTGTCTCAGCATATGATCACCTCCACAGAGCCCCAAACTAAAAAAAAACAATTGTTTTTATACTCGTTGCCTGTCAACTAAACCTCGCTGCATGATTTCTTCTTAGATTCCATTAAACTTGGTCTTAAATAAGCCATAGACTTCTGCAGCAGTGATATGTCCCATCTGTGCACAGTTGACTCCACAGCCGGCCATCATCAAGCATCTACCGGCCGATCGACGGCAGCGTGCGATGATGTTGTTGGCGGTGGTCTGAATCGTCTGCCTGTGCCGTGTGCGTTCCTCTCGGCAGACGCTCCTGTAGTTGTGTTTGCGTGACAGAAGCTTAATTCCCTCTCTGTATAAATATGGAGAGAGTGTGGTCCTGGGCCAATAGCTAAGTGAGCAGTGACACACACAGGTTTGTACTGGCAGCGGTGGACCTTGTGTGTTTCGTGTCACTGTGTGAAGAAGAGAACACACATGCATCTTCAGGGCAAATGCTGCTGTTTAAAGTGATTCTTATTGCTGAGCTGTTGTCTCTGCGCTACGTTCACAGGCACGATCCAACCTCTTTGATTTTAATTGATACTAGTCTGGGAGAAAGTTCTGTCTCTGCTATAAATTCACCAAAAAGACTCCGTATTGGGCTGCTTGACAACTGTTTACTCCACAAATGGATCAAAAAGTGATGCACAGGGCTCTTTATGTGAGGATTAGTGAGCTGGAGGACATGCTACACAAGTGATGTCGACAGTGTTGGTTTTGGCAAAGGAGGAAGCGGCAGTTATGTAAACGCATGTGCATATGAACACAGTTTCATACAAGCACAATAATTCACTCACACACCCTGTTCACACATTTACTATGTGCCTTAATGCGTCATGCCTCAATATCACCATGACAACCAATAGTGCATGATGGGTCGACCGGTTTTCAGGTGGTGATGTATCCAAAGCCTGGTACTCTGTATCTTCTTCCTCTGAGCCATAGAGCTCTATTGTTTCCAAAAACTATTAAAAACACATCAGTGAGCTGTGTTCCTTCATCACCACGAACACACACACACACACACACACACACACACACACACACACACGCTGCAGTTTATTTTCACTCAGTCTCACACACACCGTCTTGCTGCCAGAGATACTCACAACTGCACCAAGTGTGGATTAATGCACGACTGCAAATAGCAGGGGTGGGACAAAGTCTTTGTTCTGCATTTCTCAGATCTTGGCTGAAGAGTCCCGAGTCAGGTTCCACGTACAGAGTCAGTTGTGTCATTATTGAAGGAGGAACAGCAGCAGCTCTGGGCTAACCTGACTGCTAACCACCCAACTGAAGAATGTCTATTCATTTTTAGAAGAAAGCACTACAAATACTTCTCTGTGATGTCATATTTGCAAACTCCAAGCTTGTAGCTAGTGTTAACTTAAGTCATCTCTGAGCCTAAAACATTAATATTAGCCTAGCCTCAGTTTAGCTTTTCAGTGAAGCCTCACATTGAACAAAAGTGATGCATCAAGACAGTCTTCATGACCAAATGTGATAATCTGAGGTTTCATCTTTAGTCTGTTAGTCTGCTGTCTATGTCTTTATCTATATGTTTCCTCCTGCTTGTATGAGATTGGCTGCTTAAAGGCTGATCCAATTTTCTTTTTGGTTTACTCTTTTAACCAAGTCATATTAAGTCAGAAGGCTAAAGTGTGAAGTTAAAGTCCAGCTGAATTAGTTTTCGTTTGTTTGTTTTGTCACATGACTCACATGATGACATGCAGGCTAAAAATAAAGGGAGATTATTTTGTAAAAGGCTGGGAAAAATGGTTGATATATAAATCATAAAAGGCATAAATATCAATGACAATTGTACAGTTGATGGTTGATGATTCTGTTATATGCCTGAATAAAAGAGTAAAAAAAATAAAATAAAGCTGGAGTCACTAAACTTAAGATATTTTTCTCTCACAAAACAATGTACAGGAACAGCAACATTAAATTTCTTTACTATTTCACAAAGGACATGAACTGACGTGAGACGGGTTGTGATGGCACGGTTTATCTGACCCGACCCCCCCTTACATACACCTATACATCCTGCTTAATTCTGAAGACTGTTAGTAGAATAGTATTCACCATATACAATAAATTAATACATAGTTAATTGATACAGGCATGTGACTATTACATTCCCACGAAGAGATGGTGACATCAGCAGCTTAATAACTGCAGTTAATTGTGACAGAGCACATTCATTTGTGGGGGATATCAATAGCACAATCTGTTGTAATGTTTTTACATTAGAAAAACAGCATGACTCTGTATTTCTGTCTCTCACAGATGCAGATCTACATGTACAATTCAGACGACTTCGACAGCCTCAGCGCAGCACTCAGGGAGAAGAGGATCATCGCAGCCATGGCAGTGTTTTTTCAGGTAGGAACCTTTTGTCTTCTCCCAAGCCAGGTTGTGTGTCTGTGTGTGTGTATGTGTGTGTGTGTGTGTGTGTGTGTGTGTGTGTGTGTTTGTGTGAAGGGTCCAGTTATGTCTGGTCTTGAGAGATTTTGACTTCTTGGTTCATGATCAGCTCGCCCAGAAATTAATGTCATTATCTGCTCATCATTGTTTTATCAGACAACAACATCAGTGAATGAAGACATACTGACATATTCTCCACTGGTATCCATAGATATTAGTCATTTCTATCATTTAAAATGATGATGGTTCATAAGTTTGACTGAACACAAACATTGATCAAAACTGACCAAACCATGTGGCTGCAGGATGGTTATCAAGCAAATTTTGCCTTTGTTCAGGCAAGTCAACTTTTTTAATACACTGGAAAAAATAGCCAAAGGTCAGTGGCTAAAAATAAATCCAAATGTTGAAAGAGAAACTGTAGAAGAACTGAAGATCCTCCAGTTTATTTTATTTTATTTAAACCAATGGAATAACCCTGCCTCAGCAAGTCATTTTCATTAGATCTAAATTTGTGATACACACTTTGGTAGATGAATGAATTCAGACTGATTCTGGTTTCGTTTGAGGCTGGATGATGATTAAGTTTACAGTCAGAGCTGTGTGTGTGTGTGTGTGTGTGTGTGTGTGTGTGCGTGTGTGTGTGTGTGTGTATTATCTCATCTCTCTCCTCAGGTTCTCTTTTACCATCAGATTTCCAGGAAGCTAACAGTCAGGTAGTCTGTGTTATGAGGTTTTGTGGGTGTGAAGTGTAAAAACCTGCTGCTCGCGGTCAAAGTTCTGCCACAGATGAAGTTCCTCCGGCCAGTTGAGTGGAGCTGTGGGTGGACTGGGATCATTGTTAGCTCTGTCACTCTCAGTTGGCAGGAATGAAAAGTTCATTTGAGGCCATTGATTACCTAAGTGGGCTTTTACTTGGACCATTAACCCCCACTTCCTCCTCTCACTTCAGTCTGCTCTGTCTACAGCACATCGATAGTCTGTCTTTAACTCTCAGGCTCTCAGTACATCTGAGTGTGTGTTGTGCAGACAAACATTCACATGTGTGTTAACTGAATCGTAAAGATATGTCTTTCTCTCCTCTTTGCTCACATTGTATAGTTCATACAAACACATTGCTTATACATGTGTTTGTCAGCAGGTGTATAATGACTCTCATCATTATACACTGATTTTATGCTTTATTGATATTATCAGTTATCAGATACATCCTATCCCTTTTGCTTTACACACTATAGTAATGCTCTACCCAATGCGTTTTCCCCACACAACCAGTTCATACAGTGTAAACCGTGCTATAGTAGTCATCACTGCCCATGTAACCGCAGTCTACTGTCTTGTATTTTGAGCCAAACTTTATTTCAACTTGCTGATGCAATAATCATTGATATTATTTACACGTCATACTATATTATACGATTTTATCCTTTTTATGCAGACGATACTGTGATAGCAATAACTTGTCTAAATAAAATGTCTCAAAATTTATTTCAGCTCATCTCAACTTTTTGGCACTGACTCTGCCAACACTCAGATCACAGACATACCTGGTTCTTCTTATTTCCCCTCAGTGTAGAAACCTCAGCGTTAATAAACAACGACCTCACATTGAACAGTCAAATCAAGTTTTGCAACTTTTTAAGGGAAATCTCCAGAATTAAGTGATTCTGATCAACAATAAATCTTGAGATAGTCATTCATGCTTTTATTTCATTGGAATAAAAGGATTTTTGCAACTTCCTCTTTTCTGTCTGCAGCAAAACTGTGATTTAAGAAAACACATGTAAACAGACAAAACAAGTTCAGAAAAAAAACTCATCAATTTTACAATTGTTCCACCTGGATCTGACCTAGCCCACAAGCTCTCACAGAGAGTGTGTGGTGTGTGTACTGGACAGGACAGTTGAGATTTATTAGGCTGCATTATAATTCTTTATTTATTATAAATGAGGGTGATTTTAGATGTTGCTCACTGTTTATAGCCTACAAGCCGCAATTTACAAAATCAAGGTCTAGTTTGTACTCACAAAATTAAGTTTGTGAAGTGTCTTTCCTTCTCCTGGAGAAAAGGTCTTTATCATTAACATCTGGTTTGGAGCATGAATGCTCTGCAAAGCTTGCAACAATCCAACAGATTATGACATATTTTTGTCACATGTTTCACAGTCGCTGTTAAAACACATTTGAGTTATCCTCTGAAGTGAATGAACACAGCATGAGTCCTGATCCAGAGCAGGTTTACTTACAGCTGCCTCAGCTCTGGACTGGTGGCAGCACAGGAATGGATGAATTTCCATTTCTTGCAAGACAGAGGAGATAAGTCGGCAGATGGAGGAAGTGCTTACCTTGAAGCAGACATGAAATGGCAGAAAAGAACTTATTTTATTTTGAAAGGCAGCCAACACTGCTAGCTTTACTGAAAGGTAAATGCTGCTGTCCTCCAGTACAGGACACGTTCTATCTGTTCTTCCCCTCCACCGCCCGTCTGATTTATGAGACGGTGGTGCGCACACATTTCCTGTGAACCTGATGATACTGTGCCTGAAACACTGAATGTTTAACCCGCGCCCTCAGTCAGTCAGCTCTGGCAGATGGATCTCACCAGGGTGTGCGTATGTGTTTTGTTCCTATGCAAAGAAGAGTGTGTGGGTTGCCAGCCCTCAGAAGTGCATTTTTCTTTATTCACCCCGGCGCCGCTCGCTCTGCTGCCCCGCTCACATGCTTCAGTTTGTCTTTGGCAACCTGTTAGTGTGCGTGTGTGTGTGTGTGTGTGTAGAGGAGGCACTTTATTTTATTTATTTTTTACTCTCTAGTCCATGTGTGTCTTGAAAATCAAATTCAAGTACAACACACACACACACACACACACACACACACACACACACACACGTCACCTGAAGATGTTTTTGAACTGTATGTTGTGAGTCTGTATGTCAGAGCGTGCCACTGGGTGTAGATGAGGTACAGTGTGTGGTTGTATGTTGTCACTCATAGTTTTTGACAGGGGAGAGCCTGTATAGTTCTGTGTGTGTGTGTGTGTGTGTGTGTGTGTGTGTGTGTGTGTGTGTGTGTAGAGTCTTCTGGAGCTGATTCTGTTGACAGTGATGAGTCTTGACTTCAGTGTGTTTGAGCTCAGCAGTTTGAGATTTTTTTTTCTTCATTTTGATTTAAAAAATATTTAACTTGCCAGATTTTTATTTCTTACAACATTAAAATGCCTTTCTTGATATCAGGGAATGACGTTTAAATTTACAGGCTGTGGACACACCTTAAATCTGCTCAGTGGTAGAATTTATTTTGTCAGCTAATTTATACTTAGTCACAGTCTTACTCCTGCGACCAACAGTCCAGAAGTGGAGCTGAACATCAGACATAATGTGACAGGTTGTAGAGGAGGCGTCTGCTCTGAGTAATACATCCAGTCAGAGAGGTGCTGACTCAGTGTTTTACATTACATACAACAATGTTTTTTTTATCATCAATTTGATGCAAAAGAGGCTTCACTTAGGTTCAAAATCAAAATCAACCATCAGATGTGTGTAGTGATCACACTGCGCATGGTTTAGTCCAAATTAACCAAGCTTGTCTTAAGCTGGAAGTTATCCAGTTTAACTGGCCAAACATCATGTGATTGTTTGTTTGACAGTTGTTATAATGTTGTCTCCTCTTTTTTTTTTTTTTTTGTCAACAAAAAAAAAGAGGGATTTTGTTATATTTTTTAATCTTCTTTTTGTCAATGATATTATCTGGAGATTTAGCCACAGTTATTGTTTAATGAAGTCAGTTTCATCTCATCACAATCTCACCTTCGTCATGGAAATGACGGTTATTGATAAATGTATTTCATCAAAATCTTCATCGACAAAATTTACATTACTGAGAGGAAAATGTTGAGGCACCGACTCCAGACAAACCAGGTGACATTTTCATTCTCTGTGTTTTCCTGTTGTCCATCACATCGCTTTAAAATTCACTAGTGTCAGCTGTTTTTCATGTTTCAGGTCTGAAACACCAGCAGAGTCTGACTGATTCAGACCACACACACACACAACAGCCACATGATGGGACCAAATCAACACAACTGCTAATGTGCTAATGTTCATGTGTGTGTGACGGTCATTGTTGGTGATTGTAGTTTTTGGAGTGTCACAGTATATTAAGCCTCTTTATGTGTAGATGTGCTTCAGCTGTTTGCTCATACTGTCAAAGTAAAAGCCCACATTGTCCTCAATAAGACAATAACTGCCAGAGTAGTTTCATCCATTCACACACACTAATACGAAAGCTGAAATAAAACTTCACACCAGATTATTTCTAGTTAAGATGAAGTCTTCATCAGGCTCAACCTGAAGCCTTCCAAACCACTCCCTGAGAGAAACCTTCACACACCACCCATCTGTGGTAACATTCAAAGAGAAAGAAACAGCTGTCAAACCCTGTCAACAAACTGAAGTCTCTAACTGAAAGTCTTTTGATCTCTGTGTCAATGTGAAGACCATCCTCATCAAGGACTTTATTACCTGCAAATCAAAAAAATTATAATTATACATTACACTGCCCATGTTTTAAAATATATATGAAGACGTGGTTTCCTTAAAGACTCTGTCACTGAACATAGGAGCTCTGTAAAGAGGAGTAATGAAATTCTGGTATTAGACATGGCAGTGAAAAGCAACATCACATTTCATCTTTATTTTTACTGATAGGTTTTGAGGTGACTGAGTTCAATCCAAGAGGCACTAATTTTCTCAGGAAAAAATCTCTAATTTATTTCCAGGAGGCTCATATGAGGACTGTTCAATTAACAGGGTTTTATAGTAGAGTTTTCAATATCTTGATTTGAAGACAATGCAGTGCATGTGAATATGGTGTAAAGACCTCAAGCTTGAGTCCTGCCCTTTAGATGCATTTCTCCCACTGATGGATCAGATGTGGTGTCACCCATGCTCAGTATTGTC